CTCCTTTTTAAGGCCTTTTCCATGAAAATCACTTTAGGAATTCTTCAATCCAAGCTTCAACCATGACAAAAGATGGTTTGGTAATGCAAATGGCTCTATTTTGAGCAAGTTTGATGTTAGAAAGATCTCCATTTGAAGTGTGCAAGTTGGTGAAATGGACCTATAATTTTATGACCTATAATCTCACTTTCCCAAAATACCCTTTCCTTGCCAAGCTCATAACTTGAGTTCTACAAATCAGTTGAAAGACTTCTAGTACTCTTTGGAAAGCTAAGAACATGCTCTACAAGTTTCATGTTAGGGTCAAGATGAGATGGGACTTCTATCTTGAGAAAGGTGGTCTTGAAGTTGGGGACTAAATAAGGGATTTTACACTAAGAACCCTAATTTAGCAACTTCTCACACTCTTTATTCTTCTTGATTTGATCTTGAAATAATATATTAGAAATCTCAGCGCAATATCCCATGACCATAGAGACTTGGAATTGAGTCTTAATCTCATTTGTTTTCACAATTGACTGAGGGTTAACCAGATGAAAACCCTAGATGCCACACCTTGATTGTGGCTTCTTCCACATCACACAACAACTTGAATAAGCTCCAACATGGCTCTCAAATCACTCAATGAGATTTCTCAACATCCCATATCCATAATCATGAATTCTCAATCTTCTGATGATCTTCAACTGACCTCCAAGTTAGGAGCTGACCCACACACATCCATCAATCCTTTCAAAGAACAATGACCATTTCTAGATGACCTGATGACCATCCATGCTTGAGTAACACCCCTTGCTTAGGTTCAACACTCTGAGTAACCTCCTCTTGCTATGTACAACCTCTTGATCCCCTGCTAAATGAACAATGATATGCAATGCAAATGCTAGAACAATGCAAAGAAACAAAATCCAGCCAAAGAAAAAGGTTGGGCAAATTTTGGGGTGCAACAATCATCTATGGCCTTCAGCCATTCAGTCTTTTTTCGACTCCTCATAACTTCCTTATAGTCTCTAGGTTTTTCGTCTAGAACCTCACTTGCATAGATTAAGGCATAAGGTATAAGATCTGCATACTCAAGTCTCTGAGGTGGCTTGATGACTTTCCTAGATTTGTCTCTTGCTAGCAGGTAGTCATTATCAGTCTCCTCATCTTCGAAAACATCTTCTGCGTCTTCTTCGACTTCATCTGGGGTACACAATTCAGCATCAACATGTTCCACCTCAATAGGAATCTCTCCCTGTCCCAGCTCTTCGTCAGCATCATCAATTTTCTTGAAAGTCATCTCTGCTTTATTGAAAACTACATCTCGACTGGTGATACACCTCTTGTGACCTGGCTCTAGGCACCATAGCCTATAAGTTTTGACTCTTCCAGGGTATCCAATGAATATGCATTTGAGAGCTCTAGGTTCAACCTTGTCTTTCCTAATATGAGCATATGCCACACAACCAAATACCCTCAATTTGTCGAGACTAGGTGGATGTCTTGACCAAACTTCTTCAGGTGTCTTCATTCCTAAGGCAGTCGAGGGACATCTATTTATCAGATAAGTTGCTGTCGAAATAACCTCCGCCCAAAACACCTTCTTCAATCCAGCATTAACCAACATGCATCTAACCCTTTCAAGGATTGTTCGATTGAATCTCTCAGCTAAGCCATTTTGTTGAGGAGTGTCTGCTACAGTCTTATGCCTTGCAATCCTAGACTCAACATAGTAACTGTCGAACACTTCGTTGCAGAATTCAAGGCCATTGTTGGTTCTCAACCTCTTAACCTTTCTGCCAATTTGAATTTTGACCAGAATCTTCCAACTTTTGAAATTCTCAAAAGTTTCATCCTTCGTCTTATGAATGAACACCCATAGCTTTCTGGAATAGTCATCAACGATGGATAGAAAACACCTTGCACCTGAGTGTGAAGGATTCCTGGCAGGCACCCAAAGACCAGCATGAATGTAATCTAGGGATCCATGTGTTCTTTGCTTGCCTTTGTTAAACTTCGCCCTACAGGATTTACAAAATACACAAGATTCACAAAACTCCAACTTTTCGACTTTGTCTCCTCCTAGCAGGTTTTGCTTCCCCAATTCGACTAGGCCTCTTTCACTGGCACGATCCAATCTCATGTGCCATAATTCTGTCTTTGACATAGGTTTCGTGGATGCAACATTTATCAAACCACTTACAACCTCAACTCAAGGGTATACAAGCCTTGTTTCTTCACACCTCTCAAGACTTCCTTCGATCCCTTCATGACTCTTAGGATACTTTTATCTCCTTGAAAAACATATCCCTTTCTGTCAAATTGACCAAGAGAAATCAAATTTATCTTCAAGTCATGTACATACTTGACTTCAATCAATAACCTTATTGACTCATTATAAAGCTTGAATCTCACAGATCCAATACTTGCAGTTTGGCAAGATTTGTTGTTTCTCATCAGCACTGTTCCACCATCTTGATCACATAGCTCCTCGAACAATTCTCAGTTTGGAGTCATGTGTCAAATGCAACCTGAATCCATAATCCACTATTTTCTCGAGTCGCCACTTGAAACCACAAGAACATCAGATGAGTCAAAGTTATCTTGAACAATGGTTGCGTTGCCATTACCTCCATGATCTTTCAAACGTTCAGGGCACACCTTTCTTGTGTGACCCTCCTTCTTACAGTGATAACGTTGAATACCAGATGTTTCGCCATGATAAGACTTCTGCTGACTTTTACCTTTCTTCTTGTCGAACTTACCATCCTTTCGTAAGAATTTTCCCTTAACGGCCAAACCTTCGCCCACCGTCAAATATTTATGCTCCTTTCGTTCATTCAAGTCCTTAGAATACAAGGCTGATTGAACTTCTTCAAAGGCCAGAGACTCCCTTCCATATAAGAGAGTTTCTTTGAAGTGAGCATGTGTTATGGGCAAAACACACAACAACAACAATGCTTGATCTTCATCGTCGATCTTCACATCATTATTTTCAAGATCAAGAATCAGCTTTTTGAACATATCCAACTGCTCAGCCAACACTTTGTCTTCACTCTCTTGAATGAATACAAAGCTTGCTTCAGGTAGAGTCGATTCACCATAGATTTGGTCATGTACAAACTTTTAAGTTTCACCCATAATCCCGATGTTGTAGTCTCCTTTGATACCTGTCGAAGAACCTTATCACCAAGGCTCAACAATATTGCGCTGTGGGCTTTCTCAATCATGCCCGTCATTTCTTTTGCCGTTAAGGCAGCGTCCATGGCTGCCTCTCCCTTCAACGGTTCCAAACAACCATGCTGAACCAGTAGGGCTTTCATCTTCAAGCGCCACAGACCGAAGTCGTTCACTCCGGTGAACTTTTCAATCTCATACTTTGTTGAAGACATCTTCTCCATGCTCACTGCACCAATTTGTTGTGAATCGGATGTCTTGAAACAAAATATAAATTGTTTCTTTATGATCAAGAAACAACAAGGGTTAGGGTTAACAAAGAAAACAAGGTAAAACAACAAGGAACAACAATGATTTGTTATAAACTGCTATTCTTTCCTTTCTCTTAGAAACAAGATTACAAGTATACAAGAATAACAAAATAACCTCTTTCTCTTGAAATTAAAATTTTATCTTCCTATTTTTCCTTATGCAAGATGAGAGACTAACATGCTATTTATAAGAAAATTAGCACACTAACCTAATGGACTTTTAAAAATTATCCATTACAAGCTAACTTAGGGTACAAACTAACTTAAACAATTGATCTTACAAGTAAGACTCAATTCAACATGCTAACAACCCTAGCAATATTGACTAATGCATGTTAGACCAAACTTCGACTACAACACACATTACTCTGATAGCAGCATACGAACAGACTTTGACCTTATGCTTAATTCTTGTCGAAGCAGAAACTACCCTTCGACCATACTAGAGTCCGATCCAATATCTCACACTTTTAAATTATACTTTACACCATTTGTATATTTTTCTAATCTTATATGAATCGTAAAAGAGTTTTTAGGTATTATCAATACATTTTATTCAAATTGAATACTAAAAATTTATGATTTTTTAATATAAATATGTTAATTAAATTGATATATTTTATTTAGAATTTGAAAATTATATTTAATGAATGACCACGAATCCAACTCAACCCAATCCATTGATGAACGAGTTGATTTGATTCGAGTTTAGACTTAAAAGTACGAGTTGAACACTCAACCCAACTCATAAAAAGTGATCAGATTAGATATTAAATTTAATCAAGATTTTATATTTGTCCAATTTTCTTTTGGCATTTTAAGTTAGATATTTCTTACAAATTAATCTTTCAAATTATTTATATAACAAATCAATTAAATTTGATCTATAAAAGTGTAAGTCATTATTTTAATCTTTCAAAATGATGCATGATATATTATCTTATACGAAATTGATATGTCTTTCATTTGCACTATGGAGTTGAAGCAATATCTTTAACCTTTGTAATGTATATACATTATAACTCTATCGCAATCTACATCAAGAGCAATATGTCTTTATGTCTTAAAGTGAGACTAAAAAAAATGAAAATATCTATTATTATAATTTTGAAATATAAATATATAATCAATATCATTAATTTTTGAAATATGTTCATGTATATTTTTTTCATTTCAAAAACTATATTAATAAATACTTCCATTATTTTAAGGAAGTAGAAAGAATCTCAATCCATGTTAAGTTAAGTTTTTACCAGACATTCAAATAGGCTTATCGAACCGGACCACATATCAGTTACCGGTTCAACCGGTCCGGTTCAAATAACAGTAATAATTTTCGCGGCCACTTTGGTTTGAATTTTATTTTGTTCTCATTTTCTATTGTAACACACTTCAATATTCTTTCATTCGATTCAAATTCAATCACTCCTTTTCCCTTTTTCTCCTTTTCTGTCTCCTACTTTCCTTTCTCTCTCAAAATCTCTCAAAGCCAAATCTTAAACCCTAAAAAACCATCAACACTACTCAAACATGAAGACAAAAACGCCATTGAAGCAGCTCAAGCTCTCTGTTCCTGCTCAAGAAACACCCATCACCTCATTCCTGTAATTTCGTCATTTTCATCTTCCTTTAACTAACCCATTTCTTATTTTTCCTTCGTTACTCTAATTCAGCTATAAAGTTCACTTTTTTATTCCAATTTCATGCTAGTTCCCAAAAAAATGAAGATTTTGTCAAACTTCATGTTTATGAATTTGATTTGATTATGTTGAAATTGTTATTAGGACTGCAAGTGGTACATTCCATGATGGGGATCTGCTTTTGAATCAGAAAGGGATGCGTCTCATTTCTGAAGAAAAAGAATCAAGGGTAATTTCACTTTACTTCTATACTATTTTTCACCCTAATTTATGTTATATATACTATTTCAGATTGCAATTTCAAAAATTTTTTTGGTAGTGTAAAGAATTTGCATGCATTGATTTATTAAACAATAGTGTTGTTTTATATTGATTATGTTTCATTCTACATGCTTACTCTTTGTTTACTTTATCACCAGCATTTAGGGTTTGGTTTGTTTATTGTTTTTGGATTTAAGCATCTGATTTGAAGACTTGCAATTTGTCTCATTGAGCAGCCTTCTGATGCTAAGGATCTCGAATTTGACTTCACGTTGGACGATCTTGAGACTGTCAAAGTAATTGGAAAAGGCAGCGGCGGTGTAGTGCAGCTCGTTCGCCATAAGTGGGTTGGAAAATTGTTTGCTTTAAAGGTTGTCATTCATGACTATTTTCAATTGCTTCTTATCGCTAGATTTGCCTGTATGATTAATCTTTTTGCACATTATAGTAATTTGTGTGTATGTCTGCAAAAGGTTGCTTTTAATATAAATGGTAGAGCAGTCGATCTCAGATAGCGGCGCAGAGCGGCCTACTCCCAAAATGGGATAGCATATAGCGGGATGACCTCTATTTGATCATTTTTTAGATAAATTACATGAATAGTAATTATGAACAGACGAAGTGCAGAGAGAGGTGATGGAGGAACTTGTGATTTTTCTTTGGAATGGCTGAAGTGCAAAAACGTCGGTGAAGGAAGGTTAGGGTTGAGTCTCAACTCAAATTTGATTAAAATCCCAAATATACCCTTAAAACATTTTAAATTTAAAGGGTAATTTTGTTTTTCAGAGGGGAAAAGGATAGCGGGACAAAAACCGCTCCGCCCCCGCTACCCTCTTTTTACCCTATAGAAGCCTCTATAGTGTTCTGCACTGCTAAGACTCTTCCCATAGTGGCCGGCCTCTGCTCCGCTATAGCAAGTTAGCACCGCTGTTGGCCCTATTGACTTCTCCGATAAATGGTTGCAAGTGTCTTAGGATATTTGGTATCTATAAGAACGTGCGAAACAGGTTACCGTTATGATTTTGCACTAAGTAGCACCTTTTGAAATTAAAGCATATTGTTTCGAGAATGATTTTCAAATTTGTAAATTGAACTTGTGTATGATAGGAGAAAATCTTGTTAACTTTTTATTGCAGGTAATTCAGATGAATATACAAGAGGATATTCGGAAACAGATTGTTCAGGAACTGAAAATAAACCAAGCATCACAGTGTCCACATGTTGTAGTTTGTTACCATTCATTCTATCATAATGGTATTATATCTCTTGTACTGGAATACATGGATCGTGGTTCTCTAGTAGATGTAATCAGACAAGTTAATACAATTCTGGAACCATATCTTGCCGTGGTTTGTAAGCAGGTACCTAGATCATACTTCTATTTCTTTCTTGTTGAAATTGACAGATTCTCACCGATCCATTATTCTGTTTCTTTGTTGAATGTTAATAATTTGTTTGTGTCTGTATTGCAGGTGTTACAGGGCCTTGTTTACTTGCACAATGAAAGACATGTGATACATAGAGACATCAAACCGTCGAATCTTTTAGTAAATCACAAAGGAGAGGTGAAGATTACTGATTTCGGTGTTAGTGCTATGCTCGCTAGCTCTATGGGCCAAAGAGATACATTTGTTGGAACTTATAATTACATGTCGGTATGTAATTTTTCTTCATATATTCTTGTTCTGTATTATTTTTTACAAAATTTCTAAAGATACTGATATGAGTAACATTGCATAGTAGCGCTTTGATATTCTATTTATTCTCACTATATCTCTTTTATGTCCTTTTCTATTAAAATTGCAATAACAGTGGATTTGTCGACTTCTTTGTGTAGCCAGAAAGAATCAGCGGGAGTACTTACGGTTACAGCTGTGACATATGGAGTTTAGGAATGGTAGTACTCGAGTGTGCCATAGGACGGTTTCCTTATATACAATCTGAAGATCAGCAAGCCTGGCCTAGTTTCTATGAGCTTTTGCAAGCAATTGTCGAAAGTCCACCACCTTCTGCTCCTCCTGATCAGTTTTCCCCGGAATTCTGTTCATTCGTGTCATCCTGGTAACTTTTATTCCCTTTTGCTACCTTCTTACTATGTGCTTGGAACCTTGGCTCAATTCACATCAACGTGGAAGCTGCCATATTAAGCTTCTATAAGAAATTGACCGCGTTTTCAAACAGACGCAAAGTCTCCATACCAATAAAAATTCATGGTATACTCAAGTTTTTCAAACATGCAACAGATCATAAAGTACCTTGTGCTATAAGTTACACCATGGTCGTTGATTCTAAACATATTTACGTTTTTTTTTCTTTCTGTTACTAAGTTCTTTTTTGGTTACAGCATAAAAAAGGATCCTCGCGAAAGATCAACATCATTGGAGCTTTTGGTTAGTATGCTAAGCTGTTCTTTTTCTAAAAAAACAAATTTTTATATCTTGTTAAAATTTGTCATTTCTGATTCTTGTTATCTCATTCCACTCTCAGGATCATCCTTTCATAAAAAAGTTTGAAGATAAAGATCTAGATCTTGGAATTTTAGTAGGTAGCTTGGAACCTCCTGTAAATTTTGCCAGATGATTTGTTAAGATATATGGTGTAAAATTTGTACTTGCATTTCATAACTTTTATGAGTTAAGTTTCTCCTACTATGTTAGAAAGTAGAAATATAAAATATACTAGTCTGTATCCTTGTTGAATTCATTACAGTTTTCTGAAACTTATTTGTAAAATATTTGTTTTTTATTGGTAAAACAGTCCATATTTCTTAACTATATTATACCAAGGGTGCTACTATTTATTTACAACTATAAGAATAATAGAATGATAAGTTAAAGGGACAATGGATCACATAGGTTAGGTAAAAGTGATAAGTTAAAAGGGACAAATGGTTCACTTGGGTTAGGTAAAAATGATAAGTTAAACGGAGATCGGGTCACTTGGGTTTTACCATTTAAGTTTAGAGAATTTTTTAATCCACCTCTTGATATTTTTAGGCACTTAGCGAAATTCCGATTATGCTCTCTGCTTTTAGAGATACATATTCGGACGCACCCTTTTTTTTTTTTTACGCTGAATGCATCTCCGAAATTTTATCAAAACAAATTTAAAAAAAATAAATCAAGTTTTGTTGGTCACAGATGAAAATTAACTGTTGCAGATAAATGTAAAATAACATACATCTGTAAATAAAATAATATGATATATATAAGAAGTCATATGTCATAATTATCATAAAAAAATAGTAGATAAAAAAAAACATCTTTCAGGATTACTGACTAGCCCTACAAACCAACACGAGTCTTTTCAGCATGTTTTTTCCTCACTCACACGCTTTTCGAGAAACATCCCAGAAGGTCACCCATCCCTAAATTTCTCCAAGTCAAGCACGCTTAACTATGAAGTTCTTATGAACGGGCTACTGAAAAGAAGATGCATCTTGTTGGTATAGGTAGTATCAATTAATCCTTATAAGCTTTCATTCAACTATGCAGTCCCATACATGCATAGCCTCAAGATCCCTCTCATTCGGATGTGAATTCGGGTTTTCCCCAGAAGCTACTAGGAGTGTCTCATTGTCATGCCTCACGCACCGACAACCACTCCTTCGCCCACGGGTGTTACATGTAACCACTTTCTGCCCTCATTGACCTCGGGTGTTACATGTCCACCAGCTTTCGCTTGGTTCGTCCCCGAACCACATCGTACTGGGAGAGGTCTGGCTCTGATACCACTAATGTAACACCCCATTCTAACCCAACAGATAAATAAGAAAACAACAATCAGAGTGCACAAAAAGGGCCACATGACGGTCGTAATGGAACTGTCACGACCATGGTGGTCATGACGACCGTCATAGATGTCACGACCGTGACGGTCATGACGAGCGTCATGGAGTGGTGACGACCGTCACAGTCACAAATTCTGGGACGCATCAGAGGTGTCACATTTTCACCTTATCAGATAACATACACCTGCAGCAAAACATTTAATAACATACATAACACAGATCTAGATGAACAAATAACGACAACTTGTTTAACATCTCAATTACAAGACAACCTGTTATTTTGCAGCGGAATTTAATACACTTCCAACATTTATAATAAATCAAAGCAAGACCAGAAAGTCTGCAACTAAATTCCATTAAAATCTAGCAAGTAATTATCTTGCATCAATTCACAAAACAACTAGTTCTCGACCGCGAAATCAACCCTACCGATTCATCGGTCTAGTGCATACAACCAACATTTGGCACTATCTGAAGCAATCAATTTAAAGAAAAGTACTTAATAAATTTCAGCAACAAGGAATTCAATTAAAACAATAATATCAATCGTTCATCCCCTAAGAGTGCTACGTATCAGAGCGACCAACGACACCTTAAATGGAAAACGACACTCTATTCCGGGTTACCTTACCACCAACGGAGGTAACATACAACGTAAATGGTGAGATATCAAAATTATAACATAAGGCATGATAAAATTCATGTCAGGATCATATCACAGTATTATAATTCTCGCAGTTCTCCAAATGTTATCACAACGAACTACCAGGAAATCCATCATTCATATATGCAACAATTAGCAGGAAAAATTCAGCAACTCATCATTACTTGCAAACACATAATGACGTGATACTATGCGACTCAACTATGCATATGCGTGTGGTACCAATTTGGAGCAGTACTCCACAACCAATTTAATTGCCATTATAGGCCGCCAATACAGGCACAACCAACGCTAATACAGGCCAACCAGGATGATATGCTATGAGATGCAGCTATTATGGACGACAACACAACCACCACAACCACGCAACAAGGCATTAAGTCTACAACCAAATTGTCCATAACCGAAGCATCACAATTTCATACGGATCACGTAACCACAACTTTTAACATAATATAATCAAATGAGGACACCATAACAATCCTCCCAATAAATGGGAAATTAGCGCGTGTCAGCGCCGTTTCCCAATATTATTATATAGAACTAATGACATAAGACACTAATTCAGGCACAGACAAACATTAACCCTTAATATTTCTCAACCTACGGGAACTAACCCCATGATTCAATTCCCTTCATGAAATTGATCATACTAGTTATAGAATTGAACCACACCCCTACCTTTAGATTGAGGACAACTCTAAACTCCCGGTTCCGGTTTGCTCTCCGGTGACTCTTCTGCAACTCCCTTGAATTCTCTCCGGCGGTTAATTCTTTTGTTCTCAACTTCTCCCAGCCACGTTCCTTTTTCTCCCTTTTCCCCTTCTCCTCAACCTTTTTCGTTAATTTTGGTTCTGAGTAGTTTATCGTGTTTTTCCTCTTTTCTCCCACAACTTCTCTAATAACTCCATTCTTCACTTATTCCATCCACTAATATTTCAAGTAATAATAATAATAATAATAATAATAATAATAATAATAATAGTAATAATAATAATAATAATAGTAATAATAATAATAATACTAATAATAATAATAATAATAATAATAATAATAATAATAATATTACTACTAATATTAAATTATCATCATTATTAATTATATTGTACTATTATTAAACTCTATATTTTATTAAATGATTTCATATACTTTAAGGACACCCACCAACACTCTCAGACACACTCCCACATAAAGGCACACCAACAATTCATAAATAATTTAATTTAAAACGACCGGGCGTTACAGTTGACATAGATCTCCTCTATCTGCATACAAGTCAAATCGAGAGGAGCAGAGACAACTGGGTGTCTGGGAATGGTCTGACTGTAGCTGAACTGCCGCATGACGCTCTCGGGAAAATATGGAACAATGATAGTCGATCTGCATGCTAACCATCCTAAGAATAAGGAGATGTAGTCAAACGGGCACGTCACACGGTGATCAACATAAATGTTGTACCAGATGTCCTCAGCAGTCAGGCGATCGAGATAGACTCTGTAAGGATTGACCGTTTGGTTTCCCCTGAGCGGGAGAAAGGCACGGGCACGAGACATCAACATTGTGTAATCAGGCACACTCCCCTACCCAGCGATCATGGGAAACTGTTGGAATATCCAAGTCTAAAATGAAAATAAAAAACATCAGGATCAAGCATTATCACGAATATAGAATGAAAAGAAATGAAAAAAAGTCGAAGGATATAAGATTGTTACAACAAGTAGTGCCATACTCCCTGCCACAATCCTGGTCTTCCACAAACATCCCTCTCCCAGCCTCGAATACATGTAAGCCAAGGTAGCCGCCCCCTAGTTGTACTCATGGATCCATGTGGAATCCAAAAATTACCTCAAGTAAGCGACATCCGCATATGTGGAGGAAGTGTCCGCAAACATCTGAGTGCCGACTAAAAATAGAAAATAACATCTCAGCATACGCTGCCTATGTATCTCAACCTCAGCTAGATCACCATCTGCCTGGCGTGCAATAGCGAGCGCCTCACCAAACCTACGCGTGAGAAAGGAGAACCTCACATGATCCCCTCTGATCTTATCCACCTCCTCAAGTGCATTCAGTGGATCAGCCCCAAGCTCCTCGACCAACATCTCCCTTGTATCCTCCTTCGTCATCCTACCGTGATGGAGGAGGGTACCCCTGGTCGGTATATGTAGCATACAGGAGATGTCATCTAGTGTGATCGTGAGCTCGTCGTGCGGTAGATGGAAGAAGGACGTCTCAGGATACCATCTCTCCGCAAATCCCACCAGCATCCCATTGTGGATCAGGCTGTAACTGATCTCACAAAGGTCCTCCATGTAACAGCCCGATTTTTAATAACTGATTAATTGTACTAGTTAGTTGGTTTGTATGGTTTAAGTGAATTATTGGATTTAACTGATTTATTCTATTTGGTAGAATCAGGAGGATTTATCAGATGTTTTCTAACCAATGTCAAAATGAGGTATTTTACGAGAAAATGAATTGACAAATATTTTAAGAGAAGAAATATATTGGAGAAAAATGGAAAGGAAGAATATATATATATATATATATATATATATATATATATATATATATATATATATATATATATATATATATATATATATATATATATATATATATATATATATATATATATATATATATATATATATATATATATATATATATATATATATATATATATATATATATATATATATATATATATATATATATATATATATATATATATATATATATATATATATATATATATATATATATATATATATATATATATATATATATATATATATATATATATATATATATATATATATATATATATATATATATATATATATATATATATATGGGGGAAGAGGAACGACAATGTAAAAAATAGAAAACATGAAAGGAAAGTGGAGGAAGAAGAGAAAGCAGAAGGAAAAGCTTGGAAAAGCTCAAGAACGACTTCTAGCTTCCGATTAATTGAGGTAAGGGTGTGAAATCTTACTATCTTAATCAATATGTATGATTATGTATGTGTGTGTTTGGATTTGTTGGGGGGTTTCCTACATTTTTCCATTTTAGGTCGGAAGTGGATTTAATCGGTAGAAACTGAGTTTTATCAGTTAGAATTTG